TTCAGTGTCTTGCACTTTCTAGTTTTATTATCAATACTAACATTAACTTATTTACTGATTGACAAAATCAAGTTATCACAAATCTTGGCTTTATACCTTCATACCCTGTACTTAATGGTATTAACTAGAGTGAAACTATTACTCCTCTTCTGTAGAGAATTTATTATGACCCACTTATCTCATACATTCACAATAACTTTAATAATTATTTCACAAAAGTTTCTTGGCCAACTAATCTTAAAAATCTAACATACAACAAACTTAAATCACACTGTTCAGTTCTTGCTTATATAAATAACACTTTTTGGATTGCATCTTCATAGCAAGAGCTTTCACAAATTCTTAACATAGCAGAATCCTTCTACAACATGGCAAATATTCAAATTAATTCTACTAAATCTATACTTACAACTAATAAATCTTTAACCAACTACAATCCTATTATATACAATAATTATTTACTTAACCTTCATTCTCCAAATGAACTATTCAAGTTTTTAGGATGCTAGTTTATACTTAATAACAAACAAACAAAACAAATAAAGCTTATCATGGCTAAGTCTTCACATCTCATTAAAATTGCAAACACTAAACAAATCACTGATATACATGCATGATATATCATTAATACAGTCATTATTCTTACAATCGAATATTGTCTTCATAACATAGTTCTTAACCAAAACATTTATAACAAAATTCTTATAAACCATATTGGACTTGTTAAAAGCAAAGCCAAACTTTGTCATACAATTTCTACTAGTACTTTATTTCATTCACAATTATATGATATTCGCAACATATGAGATATTCAACTACAACACCATATCACAAACTATACCAAAAGATTTAACTCTTCTGATCTTCTTGGTATTAGCATTTGTATCTGACTTTAGCAACTTTAAAATAATTTTTAGTCACCTACTAGTATACTGATACACAACAATCCTACTATTGATAGACCAAACAAACATTCTACTAACTTTAAAATTATTGAACTTTTCAAACATCTTGGTACAACATTTACTTCTAACCTAACTTACAACATCCTCATACTATTCAAGAGGGTTCTATCTCATTAGAATCTCTTCTCTGCTCACACCCTAAATACCTAACCTTCAAAAAACAACTTAAATATCATGATATTCTATATTTAGACCAACTTACTACATTTGATAATTCATGTTTAGTGGACTAAAAACACATTTCTTCCCGCATTCACAAAATTCCAAAAGGCAAACAACCTCTCTGGTTTACTTATTTAGAAGACTAAGTTACAAGTCACTCCTATAACTGTACACTATATTTATACTTACACCTACCTAATACTAACTATCATAACTACACAACTGGACACTTCTCAATACGTAAAAAACTCTGGCTTATTATAGTACTTAATAACCAAATCATTACTAGTAAAGCCAGAAGACAATCTTCTCAATCTGGCACTGTGCTTATTACTCACTGGCAATATCAAATTGAATTACAATTTACCTGCTTATACTCACTTGCATTTATTCAATCAAAGGCATGTTCTGGTTGTTTCCTTAACTCACATACAATCAATAACAAATATACAATTGTTATTCCTACTAATCTTTTAACTTAATTTTTTGGTTGAGTTAACACAAATAACAAAACTTTTAACTTTAATGTCAATCATTTGGATCTCTTATACTCAGTTGCAATCAGACACCCTACCTAAACCCCAAGCCTATTCAATATTATTATTTCAACAAACTCAATTCCAACTATTTTTAAACCCTATTCACTAACTAATAAACTCCAACAAATTGCCAATTACAATACTAATCTACAAGAACTCCATTTCTATACTGATGGTTCTGTTATAAATTTGGGTATTTCTCAATGCTCTATAAGCATTGAATGGGTCCAAGTTGACAATAATTCTATACTGCATATATTTCAGGCACAAATTAAACTTTGATTATGCTCATTCAAATCAGAACTTATTGCTATCTTATTAGCTCTTATTACTACTCCTAGAAACTGTATTGTAAATATATATACAGACTCTCAATCTGTAATTTCATAATATCAAAACTTTTTAAATTCCTCTACTACTCTATCATATATATATACACTATACTTTTCACTTTGAAACACACTTGTTAACTTTATCAACTCATACAAAATTCAAATTATCTTTTACAAAGTCACTGCTTATTAAGATAATATATATAATAATTTAGCTGATCAACTTGCACGTAACTATTATAACTTGTCATATTTTACTTTCATGTTATATAATATTTACAACCCAGCTTATACTTTTATTCTTGAAAATTTTTCTCTTGAACTACCAACTCATTGCAGTATTTATACAATTTGTCATGCACATATTTATGCACTATGGATTACTCAAAACCACTTCCTTAAATAGGAAAAAATTCTTAATTAAATTAACTGGCAAGCCACTTGGCTGTACATCAACAATAATCAAAAAATTTCAAACTTCTCATATAGCTTTCAATTATCTACTCTTAAGTCCTTTAGAATTAAAATTTTACTGAATGAACTTTCTGTCTATATACTTTACACAAACATTACTACTTATATTCACCTACCTGTCACCAATGTTAATATACCAGCTCCCATCTTTATTGGACAACTTGCCCATCTGATCAATTATTAAATAATCTTATAAATGAATTATTACAATATATTCTTAATACTACTACTCTTAACACTACTTCAGAAATTATAACTAACCTATATCATCAAATCAAACAACTAAATTGCATGTTCAGTTACAATATACCAGATCTATCTTCAATTTCTTTAACTCTATCAGGCTTAGTACCAAATGAAATCATTACTATAGTCACAGACTTATCATTTACAAAAATATTTATAACACTTATTACTAAATTCTTACTTCATCTTAATTAACAAATTTATCACAAAATTTGAATTCCTTACTGTATTTCAAGATCTACAATTCATCTTTCTACTTCTAACTTATCTTTTAATTCTATTTTGCAATTAGTGCAAACTTCTTCTCTTAATACTATTAGCTCTAAGATTAATTTTTGATATATACAATAGATTAAATATTAAACTAATCTTTTATATATTATTACTAACACCTAAATCTAAGTGAGCCTTGGCCACTACAGTTGGTTTAGGTCACAGATAAATTAGTTTGAACTTCTATTCTTGCTATAATATTTTAAAAGTAAATTTAAACTTTATGTAAAAATTTCAGTTAAATATTCAATAAAGATAGAGGCATGGCCTTACTATTAACATTAAAAAAAAAAAAAAGGCTTTGAACATATCTTGTACTAAAATTTAGTACCATATAGCATATTTTATAATATCTCAGATATATATAGATAAACTCATATAAATTGTAAATAGTACTTTTTAGGTATTATGCATAGTAGAAGGTTTAGTATTTGAGAAATACTTTGTATAGAGGGTACAATTCATGAAGAGTACTATAATAAAAACAATATAAAGTAATCGATTATTAAAATGTTAAGAGTTTTCACAAAGCATTAAATAGACCATTATCATGTTTATTGTAATTTGTTCTTGGGTATCTTAATACCTGTATGTATCTAAAAGTGTTATAAAAGATATCAAATAAATTTTAGAGTTTTTTTGATATTACTCAGTTTAAACTCAAATTCTAACTATTATAATCTTTAAAGTTGTAAATATATCTTCTCAGCTTAGTCAAAGACCTTTATCTGAAGTTTTAAAGCACTGGATAGTTAAATTTTTTTTTTTAGTAATAAAAAAAATTTTATTTAAACTTATTAGGTTCAATATATTTAAAGTTTATAATGTTCAAATACTTATAATTAAATATTAATAGGTTTTTTTTTTTAGAGACCAAATGCCACCAAAAGCAACCCAAAACATCATAATTCAAATATTACTCAAAAAAAAATAACATAGTTAAAATGTACAAGAAAAATTAGCCATTTTGGCTTTTCTAAAACTATTTACAAAAAAGTATATATATGATAGTCATTATGTTTAATATTAAACCAGTTCAAGTTAAAAAGTAATATGAACTTAAGCAACAATTAATAGAGGCTGCACCTCATATCTTATAGTTAAATGATAGTATATATTCAAAATACTCAAAACTTGAAAGAAAGCTAAATAAATAGGTTAAAAATTTGTATAAAAATTTAAAAGTAGTAATATGATCAATAATTTAAATAAAAGCTAAGGCACTTGCAAAAACATAATGATTTTGTAATATATATTCTAATATTAAGGAATATAAATTTAGTAATAAATAGATTGATGGCTTTATGGTATATTATAAATTTAGTTATCATCAATATACAACAGTTGCCCAAAAACTATTAAAAGATTTATATAAATACAACATTTATTTTTAAGATTTGTACTTTATCATCATATACAATATGATTATCTACTTAAATTTATTAGCAACATAAATGAAACTCTTATTTTATTTGATCTTCTTAGTTAAACTATTATAAAAGAAACAGGTGCAAAAACAGTTAGCATACATACTTGTGGGTATAAATAATCTACTTTTATAGTTATTTTGGTTATATGGCAGATGAAACTAAACTGCTAGCAATGATTATTTTTAAGTTAATGAGTATTCCTTATCAAGTCTTCCCTCTAAGTATTATTATTCAAGCAAATAAAGAAAGTTACTCTAATACAGATAAGACTCTTTTTTAAATTAAAAATATTTGGCAAAAACATGCATCTCTATTAAGCAATTCTCATTTTTTATTAGTACTTGATTCATTTTAAGGTTATTTAACAACTTCTGTTAAAAATCAATTTCAAAAAAAAAATATTACTATAGTAGTTATACCTAGTAGGCTTATTTCTAAACTACAACTTCTCAATGTATTTATAAATAAATCATTTAAATCAAAGACATATATTTTTTATTTTTTATAAAAATTTTTAAATTAATAATATTATTAAATAAATTTTTATATTTATAGTTATACAATTATTATAATGATTGGATGGCAAAAGAAATTAAAAAGTATACTTCAAGTAGCCAAATTCAGAAACCTGCATATAATTTGGTTGCTCAGTAGATAAAAGATGCATGAGATGCTATAGATTCTTTTTTAATATATCACTTATTTAAATACTGTAGAATCTCTAATATATGAGATAAAAGTGAAGAACATCTTATATTTGATTATGATAAAGTTATAGAAAAAATGCAAATAATGTTGGTAATTATGTTTATTTAAGTAATGAAAGTATAGATACTAATGTATTAACAAATAATAAAGTTGAAAATATAAAAACTTATTTTAAAAATAAAGAAAATAAAAAAAATAGAATTAGTATTAGAGAATATGAAGACAACTATTATGAAATAAAGAAGATTAATTATTTTAATGAGTAGGTTTAAAGTTTGAAATAAATATTAATTATTTTCTTTTGAAGTTTATATTTTTAAACTATTTTGTACAAAATTGGTTTGTTTAATTTTTGAATGCTTTATACATATTAATATATAAATAATAGATATACTGTTAACTAGTGTTGTATATTGGACATGTCCATATTATGTAAATTATCTAATATCCAAGATTGTTCAAAATCAGCCAAGTTTATATCCAAAGTATAAATATTCAATAAAGTATATTAAAAATATATATAATTATATATTTTTTTAGGTGCTGGATTCATTTATGAAAAAATTAAAATATATTATCTTAATAAAATTTTGAATAATTTTAATTTAAAAAAATGTCTAAAAGTGTCTAAAAGTGTTCACGTGATAACACTGCTGTCAACTATCAATATAATGAACACCTTTAGACCAGATTTATCAGTTTAACAAACAAATTGCAAAGAACCAAATCTTTAATATATAAATAATTTATAAGTCATATAACAGAGATTTCTTTTTAGCCCAGATTTTTATTATATAGATAGTTGACAGTATATAAATATATATATTTATAAATATTAGTATTTTAATTTGCTTATTTATAACCAAATATATATCTAATATAGTATCTGAATATTTATCAGTTTTTTAGACTACATATCTATTATAGTATTCAGATACTATTAGTTGAGGGTACTTGTTTAAGAGAATACTATAAGGTGCACTGTATAGTATTTGTTTTTCGTTATATTAGCATGTTTTATTATATAAAAAATAGTTTAAATAAGTTAAAGAGTAGATATAAATAGGAGTGCAACATTGTTATTTGATTTAAGATTAGATGTTAAGTAAAATATTGTTTAATTGATAGGTAATTATTTTAGTAAAAATTTTTTGAATATTTTTGATTAACATAATTGCTTGAGTATAAAAAAGATTCTTGTTGTAATGTTGTTTTTTTAAGATTGTTTATATATTTGCATGTTTCAATTGCTTGATGTTTTTTTAATTAACAAATATATATTAAAAATCTAAAAAAAAATTTGTTTTGTTGATATTAAATTATTTTATTAAAAATTTCTAAAAGGCCAATAGCTTTGTGTAAAGATAATAAAGCTATAGTTTCTATTAAATCAGAAATTGTTATCAGTTAAAAAAAGTTGTTATAAATATTAAAATTGATATATAGCAAAGATTAAAGAAATTGAGTCTATTTTTGTTTAAAGTTAGGATTTGTTAAGTTGTGTTTAGTTCATTTAGAGAGCTAACAAATATTAAATGATTTTCTAAAAGAGAAAAGAGTAAAAAAATTAAAATTAAATATAAAAAATCTGATTAGATATATATTAAAAAAGAAGAAAAAGTACTTTTCTAATAAAAAAAATTAGGTAATAAATAATACTGCTTTTATTAAAATGTTCTTTTGTTACTTGTTTTATTTCTTTTAGTTTATTAATTATTTTGTTTAATATTATAAGTTTGTTAAAAGAGACTTGGTTTTAGTTATATTTAAGTATGCTGTTTATTATTTATGATGTATTTAATTTCATATTATTATATCTTCAAAAAACTCTTTCTGTAGATCATTGAAAAAAACAAAAAAGTAAACAAATTAGTACTAAAATATTGAACATATTAATTAAAATAAAGCAAAAAATACTTAAAAAGAGAAAAAATAAACTCTCAGAACATCTAAGTCTAACTCAATATAGCCAAAAAACAAAGAACCTTAACTACTAAACTACAAGACTTCAAAACTTCTCTTAACACTGACTTGGTGCTGCTACCTTCACAGATGGATCCCTATGAGGCCCCAGTTCAACTAAACACCCAAAATACACCAGTTACATCTCAAGCTCTCTCTATTAAAAGACCTAAAGAAAATGCAGAACTAGAAACAAACTTCTTTTCTTTAAAAAAAAATAAAACTAACAACTCTAACTCTTCTGTTTCTTTTATACTCTATTCTTATCAAAAAAATTTAACAAAAAGTGAGCAACCCAGCTTACTCCTTACAAAATCTCAAATGATGTTACACACTACAGCCATCAAAACAAACATGCCCAAATCAGCGAATATTCTTATGCCCCAAAACTTCAATATCATATTACCTGATCCATCATATTCGACATCTGTACCTAATAGTTTCATTCCAGAAAACAACCCATGGAATCCTGAACCAATTACACTTACAGAAAATCTACTAACTCAATCAAGCTTAATGTTAACTATGCATACTGACAACATAAATACCATCTCTAATACTTCTAAAGATTATCAACAAGTTACCAAGCAATCATATAGCAAAGCTTTAACATCCAACCTACCAAAACCAAAAAACAACACAACTTTCAACTAGTGTAATTCTGTAACTAAAGCTTTTGCAGCAAGACGAGTATTTAACTTTGATCTTCAAACTTGAAACAACGATAAAATGATTGAAGCCCTTAATGACAAACAACAACTTTTAGAATTTTTTACTTACAAAATTCAAACCATCTCTCCAATTTACAATATTCCATATGCTATTAATCAAAATTTTAATTATCTAGATACAGCATTCTTTCGCTCCTTTACAAAAACAAAAACTACAGCTCTCCAACATCAAAAGGAATTCAACTCACTATACCAAATCGCTTTCAAAATATATAAAAAACTACACAATGCTATTTTGATCAACAAAGTTAACAGAGACCAAATTCACAAAAAACTCAAAATCAAAATTGCTTTAGATTATATTAGAAACTTAGATTTTCTTACAACAAGTTCTCATAAATGTACAAGACATATATTCTACTGTCTTGACCTTGCACAAATTCCTTGTGTACTTACTTTCGAAGAGACATGCAAACTTCTTAATGAAGCATACTTCCAACTTTTTATTCCATTACCAACTTTTTCAGACCTAATTGACCAAAGCATAAAAGAAATACTTCCTTTCCCACTTCCAATCAAAGTTTGAAAATTTACTCGAGCAACAGTGCTAGCACTTTATAAAATCTACACTTTCGATCAACTCAATGATAGTTACTTTGCTAATTCTATTATCCTTCTTTCTAAAAATCCAACTGAATTAAACACAGAAATATGTGCAATGTTTTCAATAACAAGCTGATCTGAATTACCTTATTTAGCAGAATACAAACAAAAACTATGCAAATATTATGACTTTGATTATATACCATCTAATTACTTTGACCTACTATCCACTCGGGAACCCCTACCATCAACACCTCAAAATCTTAATTCAGCCATAAGATACTTCTTCTCTTGCAATCCTAAAGATTCAACTGATTTTAAACATTATGTAAACATCCTACAAGAGCATTACAGCTTTTACAAAATTCCAAACAACTACTTTATCCAAAAAAAACTACTTCCCAAGGAACCAAATCAAATCAAGACCTTCATTACTTATAATTTCTCTATAACTAATTATCACCTAGCAAAAATACAAGATACATATAAATTCAACATCCCACTACCACTAGAGTATATGATGGTTAATCCTACAAACAAACCTCAACTACCTACAGATCCTATTTTGATTACTGAGCTTAACCTAACACTTCCTATTACAAGTTCTAAAATCCTAGTAGAAACTGCTAGACAACTCCACACACATTACTTCTTTTACCAACTACCTACAGAATAGATCTCAATTAATAACACTACAAGAAAAGAAAATACTAAACCAAATCTTCCTTCAAGTTTCAATGAAATCCAAACAGCCTTGAAAGAATTAGACCAATTTCAAACTATTCAACTACCAATAACAACACATGAACAAATAGCTAACATTATCTCACAACTTCATAATCACTTCTCCTTCCAAGGCTTATCTTTACAACTCTTTGAACTTCCCAACCTACCTGATCCTCACTAGAATATTTTTGATAACTACTCCTCTTAACCATAAACATTATACGAATAAAACCAGATTTACTATCCTCTCAAATAAACAACAACAACTCAACTAAAATACCAGATACTTCTACAAACAATTTTCCTATCAATATTAAGGATTATCTTAACTTTGTTACTCATAATACTCAAGGACTTAATGATCCACTAAAGCTACAAATATGGCTTGAATTCTGTGCTAAAAATAACTACCACATTGTCTCTATTACAGAAACAAAACTAAAAAATTCTCCTTTTGCAGTACTCTTCAATCCACTTTACAAAATTTATATATCAAACTTCATATCTAAGAACAACTCTCAACATGAAGCCAGTATGGGCACTGCGATTATGCTTTACAACTCATTTCAACCCTTTATATTCAACATACAAACTGTCCTAGGCACTGCAATATACATTGATTTCCACCTTCCTACCAACAATAAACTTTGTATAATTTCATTATACCTACCTTCAAACCATCTAGAACAACTCAAATCTACTCAAATCTACTCAAAACACAATTATAAACTGGTTAACTCAAGCAAGAAGCAATAACTGGCATACAATTACAATGGGAGATTTTAATAACAACTCCAACAGACACAAGTGATCAGCAAATCTATTTTCAGCACTTCAATCTACATCATCTACAAGCTTACTAGAATTCTATACTATAACAGAACCTACATGGCAAAGAGGCTCAAATCAAAGTCAAATCGATAACATATGGATTAATTCTGAAATCTTTTTAGATTTTACTTCACCCTTAATTACTGACTCAGTTGATATCACTGATAGTGATTATAAAATAATTACTACTACCTGGAAGACAAACTTTCAACTAAAAATATCTAAAATCCAAAAAGAAGAAAAGAAAGATATACTTTTACCACCAAATGACAACAGACACATAGGAAGACTTTACCAATAAACTAGAAGCTAAAATCAAGCTAATAAACTTGATTCACAATATTACAACATTTTAACAATTAAACAATCTCTGAAACAAATAGTCAAATTCAATTAAGAAAGTCACAAACCAAACAATACCAAAAACATATACAGTGCCCAAAAAGCACTATGCCTTTTTTCTGAAAGCAACT